GTTCGTTACAGAGCTGCAGCTCCTGGACGAGACTGAACTCCCTCAAATCCTGTTGTGACGTCGAATTTTGCTCGTGTGTGCTCCCCTTCTGTTCGGCGCTCTACTCTGCAGCGAGCGCGGCGCACACTGCAGCCTATCGGAAAGGCCCTTTAGCCTACACGTTACATATCTCAGTGACTGTGAGGAGAACTTTTGGGTTGCTTGGCAACAGTCAGTTTCAAACAAGCAGAACTTGTTTGGTTACTGTCAATAAGAAACAATGATGAACTAATTATCTCCTTTAAAAACACTTGATTAATTCATCTGTTGATCCATAAATATTGTGAATGAAATAATTACTTTAAGCCATTCATCAAGTAAAAATCTGAATCAATGACGACTCCAGCTTTGTAGCTGTGAGGATTAATGAAATTCATCTTTCTGTAAACTCAATACCTCGGTTTATGTGACAAACATACACGATTTTTGAAGATATTATGGGGATCTGGGGTCAGATGACAGGCTTATTTTAAACCATTATTTAATAGTCAGACACTGTTGAAGGAAGGTTTACACTAGGTTTTTTTTTTATGCTTGTTGCTGCTGCAAAGACTGGAGTCAGACAAAGCAAGTAATGACATGCAGAGTAGAAGTGCTTTTGTTACATTTACCACAAAAGATTCACAGGGATTGATAGGTATGACTGTTGATTAAAAGAAGGATGAGGTTTATTGTTAGAAAAAACGACTTACACACGTACTAGATCAGATAAAGGTAAGAGAGGCCGCTTTGTTCACACTGTTAAAATCCACATAGAGCCAACGCTCCTCATACTTTAACTTTGAATAACATATAGTGTGAACATGTAGTGTAAGAAATGATGTGCATTATACAATATTTTAACATAGATTAAAATAAACTTCAGAGCTGAGATGAACAAACTCAATTCATCCTTGCGCTGATACTCTTTAAGTTGACCTTGTATACACTCCTCCTTATATCTGAATGTGATAATTAGAGATATCAACTGTTGAAAGAAGTCACCGGATTTCAGACTGAGCTGCAAGTTGTTGTTGTTTTTTCCCGTCTGTTTTGCTTCCCTTCAAGTTGTCTTTCTGTCCACTGCATCGATTACCAAAAGAGAAGTAAATAGCAAAGTCTGTTACCGCAGGGGGCTTTGGAAGTCAAGCTAACGACAGGCTGAGAGCTGGAGCTGAGGCGGATTTTAAGCTTCATGACAAACCGTTACACTGCGCCTGTCCGTCAATCAGGTCAGCTACACTCCTTATTGTGAAAAATGCTTAGCCTGTACTTCATAAAATCAGAGTTACTAAATAAAATGTAGCCCCATAATGTGTGTGCTATTAGAGACATGGGCTAATCAGACCTATTTCATGTTTTGAACCAGGCTGTAAAACGGTGACACGGTGACATCACCCATTGGTTTCTGAGGTGACTATTTGAAGCCCATCGATGGCGGTAGGCTGTCTCAAACTAAATTTCAGTCAACCAAGATACATGCAAAGAGCTGGAGCTGAGGCGGCCCTTAAAGCCTTCTGGCAGAAGCTACAATGCGCCCATCTGTCACTCAGATCAGCTATACCCCTAATTATGAACAAGTCTTAACCTTAATACAATCTAAATCAGTTGTAAGAAAAGGCAAGCCAGGGTATGACAGGGTATGCTGATAAAGACAAGAGCTATTTAGACCAAAACAGTTTTTGAACCAGGCTGTAAAAATGTGTATATCTGCTGTTGAAATGGACATTTTAACACTGCTTCATTTTTCAACAGCGGTGGCTGCCACTTGCATTAGAACGGCATTTGAGCGTCCCATCCTGAGCGTCATTTCAGAGTCAGATGGCACTAGTGCAACACATATGTTTGAGTTGAGTCAGAACTGTAGAAAGAAGCAGCCCTGCTATCTTCAAATTAATCAGTTTTTCCATTAGCATTTGTTAGCAAAGAGCTTTTACTCAATTATTTCTGAACTAAACTCCTCCCTGCTCGACATGCACACATTTAGATAAATTTGAGGTATATTATTGACTGTCCACAACTGAAAACCAGCTTTGTTCTCTGACTTGAAGAGATTATACAAACACCACATGTAAACCGGGACAAAAGTGAGGATGAAACGTGGTGTCACTAAATCTCGTCTTTTCCTTACGAAGAAGCCCTGAAAGAAGAAGACCTAAACTCATTTCTCATCACACAGGGAAACCCTTCATGTGTCAGACTGTGTTACCTGGTTTTGTGCTTCTCTGTGGATGCACAGTGGAGCTCACATAAACTCATTATCAGCCTTCCTCTGTTGACAGAGAGAGTCAAGTGGCTCGCTGCTGACCCATCTGTTGGGGCTGAGAACACGCAACACACACATTCACAGAAGATACTGTACACATAGATGAATGAGATAACCGAGTACACACCATCTGATGCAGCTGGAATACCCTCAGATAGTCATGTGCATGTTGTGTATGCATGTGTGCGGCGTGTAGGTTTCCATACAGAATAATGAAACATTCAGTAGAGCATATGGTGTGTGGATGGGGAGACAGAGGGAGAATTAACCGAGCTTATCCGGTGACCCAATGGCTGTGAATGCAACACCGGTGTTGTGATCCTTTCTGCCTGTGTGGGAGATCAGGTGACTGAACGGAGGGAACATAAAGCCTCTCATTTCCACAAAATAAACAGGATCATTGTCCGGAAAAGCCTGATCTCACCTGTGTGCGTGACGAGAGATAGCATGCAACACAGAGTGAAACCCTAATGCAAAGGCCTAATCTGCTGTTTACATGCCAGAGATGTGTGTAATTAATGAGCGTGTTTATTCTGTTCGTGCTGATGTCACTCATAAGCAGGCCTCCTCTACACGTTTGAGTGGTCTCATCTGCCCCCCCAAAAAATAAAAAATAATAACAACAGCTGTATCTTCATGCATATGCTGTCCTCATTAATGCAGCCATACCAACAGCTGATTGGATCCATAATTATGATAATGACAGTGCGAGCATCATGACTTGGCAGAGGCATGTCATTGTGAGCGTGAGCAGGAGATTACAGGTTGGAGGAGCATTTAGCCTCTGCTGCCACCTGCTGCTCAAAGACAGGAACGGTCAAATCAAAAGGTGGATGTGGATCATCAAGTAGTTAAAGAAATATCCTCTTTAAGTGTATTCCCTTTTACACAATAATGTCCTTAAACAATAATGTTTTCTCCCTTTTTTGTTCAGTCTCATGCCATGACTGTTGTGTGAGATTTTTGTGATGTACAGCTGTGCCCATCCAATTTATTATCAGACATCCATGAAGCTTAAGAAGCACAAGAGATACATTTTTTAAGAGATACAGTCTTAATCTGAGACAAAACGTTAAGAACATCCTGACATTTCCCATCTGGCTTCATCAAGCACTATTAATGTCAGACACTGCATTTCCCATAATGCAACCAATGGTGTAAGATTTGTCCCTGTATGGTAAATGCTACACTTTTCAGTTTAATTAGTAGCTTGATTAAGATTGATGGCATACACACCGTTGCCACATTTTTTGCAGTGTCTTGTTGTTCAGTTAAATATGAAGCCACAACCAGCAGCCAGTTATCTACCTTTAGCTTCAGGACTGGAAAACGGTGGAAAAGCCTTAAGAGGACATCCATCAAGGCATTTTATCTAAGAATATTTCCCCTGATAATGAGTACATTTAATTTGTTTCCCTTGAGATCTCAAGTAACGAACACGTTATCATGGGAAAACCAGCTATGTTATCCTCAGATAATAAGATCATTGAACATCTTGAGAAAACAAAAAGAACTCGCTGGATGGATGTCTGCGTCCTTAGCTAGCTCTGTCATGAGCGGATAACCTCTAAAGCTAACAACTGAACACGTCTTTTTCTTTTTTCGTTAATGGTTTAACTGAACAGAGTTATCTATGGCATGAATGTTGTTTGGAGCAGTGACTGATTTGTTATCTCCATGGAGTTGCTGTGGAGATTCCTTTACCCAGGTGCCAATCTCTTTGTTTAGTCATTTTTGGCAAATTAATGTACTTCCTACCTTCCTTTGTGCTAAGCTAGGGTGAAATATGTTAGCATCTTCATATTTACTTCACAAACTGAAGAGTTTTTTTTTTTAAAACTGTCTCATCCTCTCGACAAGAAAGATCATGACTGTGTTCCCCAAGTGGCAGAAGCAAGGGCGCTGGTGGCGCAGTGGTTAGTGTGCGCGCCCCATGTATGGAGGCTATAGTCTTCAGGTTCGAATCTAGCCTGTGGCTCCTTCCCTGCATGTGATTACCCAATCTCTCTCTTCCTGATTTCCAACTCTATCCACTGTCCTATAACTCTATTAAAGGCACAAAGAGCAAAAAACAAACAAACTAGCAGCTAGCATAGCATAGCCTAGCATAGAGACTGGAGAACAGGGAATCTGTGAACCTGTTCAAGTCCTGAAGTAAAACACATACATCCCTTTAATTTAATTCATAAAAAAACTATTTGTTTGAAAATTATCTTAGCTTAGCCACTGTTAGCTTAGCTGTAAACACCTGAAGGCCTCAGCTCAACACTAAAGGAAAGAGTGGTGTCCATTTTTCCTCTAACTCTTAGATGCAAGTAAACATGGTCTCCAAAGAGTATTCATTCAAAGTTTTTAATCACAAGCTACAGAGGCGTATTGCTGACACTCTGGAATATAAAAATGAGGATCAGTATCACGTTATATAAAATGAAAATATCTTATAACAATAAACGTTTCGAGTTATAACGTGATTTGGATCCTCATTTCTATATTTCAGAGTGGCTGCAATACGCCTCTGTAACGAGCAAAGTGAACTCTGATCAGACGATCCTGGGATATCTTCTGAGACTTCATCAAACTCCTCTGGATCACGATGAGAATTTACAAAACTATCTCACAGGCTAAGTTACCATGGTTACTTCTGTGTAATCAGCCCGGCTTAATGCATGCTACTCTCGTTTAAACGGGCTCATAAAGAAACACTTCATCACCCAAATACTTGTGTAAAGTCACTTTTATTTATTCTGATTCATAGAAGCATTTTTAGAAAATATACTCATGTCCAGGCTGCAAAATCAGATTCAAACAGGACCCACTGACTGATCTATATACTCTTGAAGAGATGGGAGAGCTAAGTGCATGAAAACACAATTCTCAATCATCAGCATACACCAAAAGCATACTTACAAACACAGTTATCAAATGATTGAGTATCACAAATAAAAACATGATTGTTAACTGGTAGAGTACCACAATGGTTAGTGCAGTTGTATAATCAGTATATACACATCCATGTGAATAAATACAGTACAAAGTCACTTTAGTCGTCACAGATTGTCAGTAAAAGACAGGGATGGGGTGAGGAGACACTTTATCAATATTCAATTTTGCACAAATGCTTAAAACATGAGTTCATGGTACAGGAGAGACATACAGTAGAACGACTGTGTGTGACAAGTTCCTGTCAACCGGTTAAAAAACAGAAAGCATACAGTACATGCATCTTCAGCAACAAATGGATTAAAAACTAAATAAATCTGCTGTTGGGTCTTTGTTAGTTCAGTGCACACAGTTTTAAAAGCTTGTCTCTCGCCAGTCCTCCAAGTTTAAGTCTGTCCTTCCTGCGGCGCTCTCATAACGTCATAAAGGATCTCTGTTTCCAAGCTGGGGACTTTCATAACCTAAACAAAGCAAAGTCAGTGTCAATACATGACTTTAAAGGTACACTTTTCATTTGTTTATATGCAATAGGCAATCGATCAAGTGACTATGTGTTACCAGAAGCTGTTGCCCCACTTTAGACAAGCTAATAAGTAGTAAGCTCTGAAGACCAACATCAGGCAGCTACCAACTAGCCTGTTAGTGAAGCAGGTATCAGCTACATGATCACATCAAAGATAAAGACAGAGCTGGAAGTAGGGTAGATGTGGGAAACACATTCATCAGTTTAACACCAGCACTACTCTAGATGGTAGACTTCATAAAACCTTTCGCTCCTAAATCCTCAACAGAGAATCTAAACTGGATTCACATTGATCCGTTGGCAGGTTACACATCCTAAAAACAAGGATCATGTTGTTTGTTGTCTGCTTGAAGTGATTATTTATTTATTATCAATGACATTTTATGATAATTGATTTGTTTTCAGCTTGTTCTGGGGCCCTAAGTGGTCCTATAAATGAGGCCCCGAAGTGGTTCCATAAGTCAATCGATTCAGCTTTAAGCTTTCCAAACGTGGACATAAAAGTTTTGAAGCTCCTTTTTGGAACTTTTTATTTCCTGTGTTTCTGGCGCCCTCCTGTGGACAAAGCGGTCTGTGCTGATCCCGGCCTGTAAAAGTGTTAGTGATGTGTTTTTTTAAAACAAAAAATCTCTTCCTGCTTTTCTTTTACTGTTAAATGTATCCCTCACTGTGAATCTGTGATTTGGAAGAGAAAAAGTCTGTTTCAGCAGCATGTTTTTTTATCACTTTGACATCTACGTTGCGGCAGCAGGTTCATGCATAAATTATGATATAGAGGTAATCAACTTTGTTAATGAGGGTCTTGTTTGCTTTTGGAGGTCATTAAAAGGCATCAGTATCGATTTCAATCGGTTTCATAATCAGCTCAAAACTTCTCACAGGAGCTTTAATGAGCAACAAACAGGACGACGCTATCTTAAACAGTCCTTGCAGGCTCAGTGTGTTCAGGAAACAAGAGTGATAAAATGCATTTTTTGTTTGACATCCCCACTTGAAGCTTCACACTGCTAAAAATAACCCCCGGACAGGGCACAGAGGACCACTTTGGTTTCACATGTTCTGTAGAACTGGCTCTAATGCCATCATCTGTGACATGTGGAGCCTTTTATCATTCTCAATGTGACGGTAATTGAGTCCCTGCAGCAGGTTTTTCAAACACAGTTCTCTATAACAGAGGTAATTGGCAGCAGTTTTGACGCGTGGTTAGCAACCCCTTGAGCCTCAGAGTTTCCATCTTCAAAACCCGTGTAAAACTGAGGATGAATCAGCTAAACATGGCTGACAATTATTTCAATAATAGAACATAGTATCAAAAATGAATCAGTTACAGTTAGAGCAGGAATGATAAAAGATCTTTATCTAAAAAAGAAATGGTGGTGTTCTCATCTAATGGCACCACTTATTCCAGCAGTGTCAAAACCAGCTGCCAGCTGCAAAGAAATGTTTGAGGGGAAAAGTCTAATTATGTCTTTAGATGAGGTTTCATCACTTCTTTGTAGCAGGACAGGCATGCATTCAATATGTAAGGTATGACTCACACATGATGCTATAAATGTCTACAGATGAGTTTTACAAAAAGTAAGGTTTCAAAGTAAGCTGCTCACACTTCTGCTTAACTTTTTTGCATTAAGTTAACTTTACCAAGTGATAATAATCCTTAAAATTAAAACTCTAATATATCAGACACATTGAATTTTAAAATGTTATCAAGCACGGATTCAATCTGCCACACGGCGGTCATACCACACATATGAGCAGGAGGAGAAACAGATACATACACCTGGTCCCAGCAGGGTAGTCCAGAGATCTGTTTTTGTACTGGGGCAAATAGGGTTTTTTCACAGGGAATCTGCGATCTGAAGACCTCTCCAGATCGTAGGGGCTGTCCCGCTCCATGCCTGAGGGAAAACCGCATGGCACAAACACAGACACACACACACACACACACACACAGAGTGGAGTTTGGGAACTGAGAGGGCAGGGTTGCAGGAAAAAGTAATACACAGCCGACAAGCTCTACAGGAGGCTCGAGCACATCAAAAAAAAAAAAAGAAAGCTCATGCTGTTTTTTATTTGATAAATCATAACAAAGGCTCTGCGTCGTTGTCATGAAGTATGAATAAAAAAAACTGCATTTTGGAGTGAACTTCATTCAGACGGCCATGTGTAAACTAAACAGCATGCGTTTGGGTATATTATAGTGTTTGAAACACAGCAGGGGGGCTGGTACCACAGTGTCAGACAAACAGTACCTATGTCAAATGAGTTGGACTTCCTGGGGTGACGTGATGTAGCTGGAAATCCATTTCGGCCTTCTCCATCAACTGGGCGGGAAAAAAAAATCATAATAATAATAATAATCATCATAAGCACAATCCTACTCTGTCCATGTGGCCTTACTGGCATCAGGAACATTATAAAGTTGTTCTGTCATGCACACTTGTTTTTATCATCATCTAGATTTAGATCTACTGTCTCTCTTTTGTTGTTGATAAAAATCAGTATTACCTGGGCTGACATCTTCTGCAGCCTCCATCCCGTGCTTGGCAGAAGCAGGGGGGCTCTCCCTCTCGGTGGTGATCTCCTCCTCAATGATTGGTGGAACAGGAAGCAAACCCCTCTGCTCATTGGTTGTTCTCTCACCCGGACTGACAGGTGAGGTTTTGGGAGGGGTCACTGATTTTTCTGGAGAGGTCCTGTCTCTCAGGACGTCGAGGCTTGGCTGAGGAAAGGAACAAAAAACATTAAGTCACGTTTACTCATCAGAGCTGGATGCAATGGGTGTAGCTTCTTTATTGTTTCTCTTTGTCATGCGGTACACTCATACTTTATTGGGTATAAGGGGACGCTGCCCCTCTGGTCCTCTCGCTCTCTGCTTCTCTTCACGCTTCCTTTCACTCTGCTCTTCGTCTGCTTCCAGCCTTCCTGCCTCCTCTGGTTAAAGAAAAAACACAGAGCTTACTATGAGCTGTCACAGCTTTGTTGGAAAATTAAAAATAAAACTCCCTGAAGCACTGAAATGCTGGAACACATGTCATGAATGTTCTGTGATTGGAAGTGCAAGCCTCGGCTAGACTGCGACTTGAAATCATGAGCGTAAAGTAAACAACAAACAATGCAAGTCCTACAATCACTGAGCGGGTTGCTGGTTGATTTCTGTTAAGAGCCCTAAGACTTGTTATGAATAAAGTGCTGCCCTCTTGATTATGCTTACAGTTGCAAATGTTTATGCAAATGTTAACATGCATGTTTTAAATGTTGATGGGTTGTCTCTTGGATCAGTGGTAAATCCAGTTAAAGAAAATAGCAGCAGCTTCTGTTAGCATTTATTTTGCTGTCCAATTATAGCAGTAAGGCTGGGAGTCAGAGGAGGACATTTTCTCCAGTTTAAATGTCAAAATTCAGACTTTCGATATTGATTTTATGTCTGGCCTCCAGCTATTGCACCAATCTTATAATTCCCTTTCAAACCTGAGTCTAGTTTATAGCTTCTTTTGAAACTGAGGTTTGGCTCATTACTGAGTCTGGACCTGAAATGTACAATCGCTCTTAACAGTGACTCACTCTCTCTGTGAATACCTACGGTTCCTTTCCTCTGTTATAGCATCTCTACTGAATGTTTTTTATAAGACTTCTTGATTATATGTGTTTATTGATGTTGAACTAATTGAATCAGTAATCAATATTTGATGTGTGTATTTAATTGTTTGTTTCGGTCAATGAATGAAATAAACTTATAAAATAAAGATTGAGGATACTCAGATCTACAGACGGTCTCTTCTGGTCTTAGTTGAAGCTCAGGGGTGAGTGAGTCTTTTCAGTGGCAGCTCTGTCTCCACTGTTTTATAAAACAAACCCCCTATGATGCATTTTGCCTTTTGTTTCAGGAGCAAAGTTCTATTTCATCTTTCTTCCTTTAATATTGGTCTTCAGGCTTTTTAGTATTTGAATGTCCTGTTGTTGAGTGTTTCATTGTGTTGTCTTTCTGTATGTTTGAACATCACTTCTGTTGTTTTAAAATTAATGTGCTTTTAAAAATTAATTTTCATCTCATTGGTTTGGATTGATTGGGCTAATTAAAAAGTTTTGCGTAGACTTTTTAATCTGTAAACTGAATTTAAAAAAAGTGTACTAACATGCAGATCTGATAATGCATCGTTATGTTACATGGTGTTTATATGTTAAATCAAATATCTGAAAACATCAAAGAAACATTCAGCATTTTAACATCAGAAAATATATTTTGTTGTGTATTATAACAGAGCAGCAGCCATGTCTTCATCTCCTGTTTACAGTAACTACACTTCAGCATACTCAACTATGCTAATAACAGTTCACATGATAATACTTAAATATTCATCATGATGTTGTAAATGAATTCTTTCTATACTTGAACAGTTTAAAATGGAGCACAAGTTTACATAAAACACTACACAACTACACCAGCTAGAATAGTTGCAGTACCTAAACTCTCCTGCAGGTGTCTCTGCCTCATAGCAACCAGACTGGGCTTGCAGCCCTGTGGAGGGGGCTCTGGCCTCGTCCCACAGGGGGCCACGTTTCCTCCACCGCTCTGTCTGTCCTCGTCCATCTCAGTCCTCGCCTCCGTCAGGGGGGCGATCCTCTCCTGCCTGCCTGCCTCCATCTGTCTGTCCGTCTGCTGTTTGGAGGACGCCACGTGGCCGTTGGTCCGGGTTTCTGCGGGCGCATCTGAGACGGTGGATGATCTGTCAGCGTCGTCTGCATCTTTGATGTCGCAGGTGCTGCTCCCATCGGAGTCCTCGATTTCTGCCCGATGCAGCTGTAGACCATGCTGACCAGGTCTGTGGACTGGATAATCATTCAAAAGAAAAGTTCTCAACCCATGAAGAAGTCAAGTATTTGCTTTACATACCTTCACATGAGGCTAGAGTTATTTTTTGTTGCTTTTTTTTAAGCGTCTCGTGTTGAAAACAGTGGTGACAAATCTAGCTAATTCAATTACGCCTAAATTAAATTGCTGGGGATGTCCTCAAATCTGCACAAGGATCAGTGAGGATCCCTGGACTCTGCTTTGACAGGCAAAGGGATTTGGACGACTGCGTGACTCTCTCTTCTTGGATGTGTGTGTGTGCAGAAGTGTCTGTGTATGAGCAGAGATTAAAATATAGTCCTGCACAACTCTGACAACACAGTGAAAGGCTGGGAATAGCAGGTGGTGGGCACAGCGTGCAGCTATGTGCTGTGTCGAGTGAAACTGGAGGATTGGTGAGCGAGAAGTCTGCAACTGAAATCCCTGTTTTTCCAGTTCGATCAGAGGCAGACAGAAGATAGTTAATGAAGTAATGGCTCATTTGCATTCACTTTGAACAGCTCGTTATGCCAGATTGGAGCACTTCTCCACAGAGGAGTAAAGCAAAATGTGCCAAAATGTTTTGGCGACTCGGACGTGTGTCACTCCCCCTGCAGAGGTCACAGTTTCCTCGAGCATTGCCCCCTCAGAGCTGGTCAGGACTCAGTGCCAGTGGCGGCTTGCTGTCATAAAAACGTGAATTTTGAATTATAGCTGACCGGCTGTCACAACAAACTCACTGTGACTGTCCCGAAGGCTAGGCAGTACTACCTCCCACTACCTGTGATTGAAGGGTACCTTACCTCGCAGCTGGAAAGCATGTGCTGTCCACAGGGACAACCTTTCTGCTGCAGAGCTGCTACTGCTAACCTGGACTTAATGACATCGAGTTTACCTTAGATAATGGCCATCAATAATCACATACTGAACTTCAATAAAAATTGCATTTTTATTTGACTTTCTTTGATGCTATCTGACATCTCTGTATGATTCTTTGTGTCTCCACATGTGTCACTTTTTTCTTTTGCTGTGTCCCAGTTTCAGGTTTTTTTTTGTAGTTTCCATGTGCAGGTACTGAAAATAGGATTATCTCTTACAGTTTTGCGTGCAGTTGTTTGCTGTTGTCAGTAAATCAATTAAAATATGCATCTCAAATTGGGTTTATGTCAAGCTCTGGATACTTGGTGTTGAGTTAAAAATAATGGACATGTTTTCCCTTTTCAGAGACATATTCTACAGATGTACTGGTAAGTTGTAGTAAAATGTGTTATTTGTGAAGGATGGCTTCTCTGACCTCTTCAAATGGGCTCTGGAATAAAAATCAAAGAGGTTCTGAGATGCACAAGCTCTGCTGCCCAGGCGTAACACTGTACCTGTCTTTGGATGAGGCAGGGGGGGCTGGGACCCCTCATCCCAGGCACACCCTGCATGGGCCGAGGTGAAGGCATGGCCCCGTTGGCTCCGGGAACTGCACTCTCTGGCCTCCCAGCATCCTTCGGGTGCTGAATCATCGAGTAGACGTTCTCTAAGGCGCTGCTGCAGCAGACGGACAGACAGAGACAGACCCAGGAAATTTTGATGAGTCATATTTAATCACATTTATGAGCGGGAGGTTTGACCTGAGAGGAAAGGCGGCTCTAAGCTGCCCTCACACTGACTAACTTTCCAACTTAATTAAACATAAACAGTTTTTACTAATACAACAGAAAGATTTGATAATGAACAAGGTTTTTTTCTACAGTTCAGTTCAGTTCCAGCTACTTTCTATTTCACAATATGCCAAAGTTAAAGGACCAATCTGTAAGATATCGACTGAATGAAATCATAAAAAGACCTTATGAAATCATGAGACATTAAGGAAACATGATATGTTGAAGTGCTGGCTTCTCTGTCAACAATGCAGCAGCCAGTATGTGATGCTTCTGAGCTTAGAATCCAGTCCTAAATGGTTTGTTTTTGTTTTGAACAGAGAAGGGAGATGGTTTCAGAGCCTCTATCCACATACAGTGCTTTCTGCACTTGAAACGCTCACAGCAGCGTAGCAACGCAAATCAATTGCTGCAGATGCGTTTTTGTGCTCAGGGTGCTGAACTACATTGGTGGTTTTGTATTCAAAACGAGCGCTGCCATCGAGAAAGCACTGTCAGTGCACACAGGCAACTAAGGCACCTTCAAGCTGTCTTTTTGGACGCCCCTCTGTTTGCCAGGCAAACTGCAAACCAACAGGTGTTGCAGCGATAGAAGCAGGAAGGTGAACTGGTTGAATTTGGCCTGCAGTACCACTTTTAAACACTAGGTGCCAGAGTTACATATTGCTCCTTTAATCCTGTTTTACTCCCACCTTCGGTTGTAGACATTCAAACAAATGTTTTGTACTGGGGAGCCTAAAGAAGGCGGCGAAAGCTTTCTTTTTGATTTCACAGCAACAGTGTGCAGTTTAAAGACTTTAAACCAGGGGTGGGCAACTGGCGGCCCGGGGGCCACACATGCGGCCCCCATCAACCCTCAACGTGGCCCTCAGGTCAATTTTTACATATCAATTAATTGGAAACATGAAGAAAACATGACAAAATCTGCCATGACATCATAAAAACAAGAAATATGTCCATAATAATATTTGATCACTGTTACATGTTGAGTTAAATTTGAGACATAATCGACTGTAATCGTTTTTGTATACTACAATGTGGCCCCTCTGGCAGTAAGAATTGAATGAATGTGGCCCTTGCTGTGACTGAAGTTGCCCCATCCCTGCTTCAAACCATTGTCAACTATTTGAAGAAGTGTTTTCTGTCAATATCAGCCCTGAAGATGATTCATCCGTTCTTTTTTGCTCCTCTTTCAAACTTCTGTAAAACTCTGCCTCGGTGTAAGACAGACACCTGGGCGAGAGCAAAGTTGGTCACCAGCCGAGGCGATTACGTCACCAGTTTTCAGAGATACTTGAAGTTAAAAATGTAAGCGCCTCGGTCAGCTCTCACAAGGTGCCTTATCTCCTTTATGTTAAACTCTTTTAATGGCGAGGTCCACAAAGAGTGCCCACTGGGTGCTATTCTCTCCCCTCAGCTATTAATATGTGTGATTCACTTCTTTAAATTAGTTTCTCTTCCTGCACTTTTCCTACTTTTCAGCTAGACTACTTTTAACTGTTATATAACTGCAGTTTAAAAGTACCCAAAGCCAAGACTATAAAGCAAAGGAAAACAGTTGGAGAGAGCGAAATATTTTCTTCCATTTTAAATATTTATGAAGCTGTGAAGTGACGTTAATGCCTGCGCTGGATTCATTTAGCAGCTTTTTTTTGTATTCTCAGGGTCTGGCTGCACTCAAACATTTACTTGGGTCCCCTCCTGCTCGGTGCCGCATACTCACTCGCAGTCCTGATTAGAGATGGTGGAGTTGCGGTTCTTACGGAAGCCGGAGAAAAGGGACAACACGCTGCGTCTCTTCTTCCTCCTCAGTGACTGGGCCTGGTGGAGGGAGGACAACTGACTGAAGAGGAGAGACAGAAAAAAGAGGAGGAATAAGAAAGCTGAGTAAGAGAAAGGATGAAACATTTAGAATAGATTAGATTATCAACCATTGTTGAGCAGTATATACGTTCTATATGAACCATCATTTGTTAAAGGACACCAGCGTGAACAGCTGACATTAAATGGGATCCTTATGCTAATGAGCCATCTGACTCAACTTTTTTTTTTTTTTTTCTTCCCTGGGTGCAGATGGTTTAGTTAATCTGACAGAAGGAACAGTTTATGCTGCCTCAATTAATCGTCTTCCATGCACTGCTGGTGAGCACTCTGCACACAATGTCATGTAGCCATGTACTACGACATCTGTGTGGATGGGTTCGACTTATTTCTGAGCTCCGCTAGCAGGGATATTAAAATCTGGTTTAATATGGTGACTGACTGATCAGAGGAGTGCAATGACGGTGAGGCACTTTTGTAAATTAAAAAAGCTGCTGCTGCGGAAAATCTTGCAATGGTTTGTGGCATTAGACAAACTAGAAGGTAGTTCATTTGACAAATAAGCAGTGAGTATGTTATCCCCTTTTCTCTAGTCCATGACCTAAACAGCTTCTATATGTAAGAGGAGGAGCCGGTTGTCCTGTCCATGTAAACATAATGTAAACATGGCTCCGGCAACAACACAGCCAGAGGATATACTTGATTTCTGCTGTATTTATCTGTAAAATGTCGCACATTCTTCCTTTAAGTCAAACTATCTGTCCACTTTGACAGACACCTTGAAGAAAGTGAACCTAAGATGTAAAGCTGTGAGCTGAAAACCTGAAGAGAATATACTTATGGGTTCATAACGTCAAACAACCTTTTTCATGCATAACAACTAGTTAGATTCATTATTTATTCATGAATGTTGACTTTAAAGTGACCTGTAAGGATCAGACCCTCACTGGACGACACTTTTAAGTGCAGTGTTTCATTAAGGACTTCATTGTGTTTGCAGAAAACTTTCACAACATGTGCCATGAAAACAGTTCCTTAAGTCTGCCTTGAATTACTGTAGCTGTTTTAATGAAAGTAATACGGTAACTTTCGCTTCTTAAATATGTTTTTGCTTTGCCACAGATCTGTGCACACACAATCTGCACTTCTTTGAATCCAGAGAGAGCGCGTAAACAACTCTCCGTGACAACTGGGCAGCTTCATAGGAAATAAGTAACTGGACTGTGACGGTAAACAAGATGATTTATTTCACATGATGAGAAATTTTGTTGTCATTAAACAAACAAATCTACAATGAGGCCTCTACTCACTGCAAATGGAAGCTCTCCACTACATCTGTCCCCGAGTGCGCTGTACATTCATCACTAATATAATTAGCTGGAGACCGTTTAATGCATAAGATACGTGTTGAGCAGGCACTTAGGTCCTATCTGGATGAAATGTATGAACTCAACGCAATGAGATGAAACACTGAGAACATGCTTTAGCTTATTTATAATGATTAAAGGTCACATATTATCCTCCTTTCCAACCAGTTTAAATAAGTCTCAGAGCTCCCCAAAACATGTCTGTAAAGTTTCTTGTTCTAAATCCACTCTGATCCTGTATTTGATCATGTCTATAAACCCCTCTATTTCAGCCCTGCTCAGAACAGGCTGTTTCTGTGTCTGTAGCTTTAAATATGTAAATGAGGTGTGTCTGACCACACCCCCTCTTTGGAAGGACTTGGGTGGCTCAGGCTTGCTCGCTCCATGACCGGTGGAGAGGCAGACTCAGAGGGCAGAACAAACAGCAAGCTGTGGGAGTGTCACCCACCTGGGGGAGGGGCTACTGCCCTTTGTGCACACATTTTCTGAAAAGTGGAGCAGGCGAAAGACGGAGGATGGATTTTTCTCATGATTGGGGGGTTTGTAGACAGACTAGAGACACATTAGTGCTGGAAAAACATTGTAACGTGTATTTTACATAATATGTAACCTTACAGAATTAAAGAGCATCGTTTAATGTAGAGAACATAATAAATTTATAATGATTTAAAAGTCACTGTGTTTCACGGTGATGATGAACTCTTTGTTCTGTTATTTATTTCATGCCTTTGTGCGTCGATTTGCTCTCTTTTCATCCCTATGTTATAGTCTCTTTCTTTTTCTCCTTTGCTTGCACAATGTTGTTGTCGTTTTTTAGAAATGTAATTCTCATCATTAGATCAGCAGAGTTAGGTTAAACTATTGGCTGGATGTGTGAGCATGGCACATGTGTGAGCATAAAATAACAATATAGGCACCAACAAACCTTAAATTTGCGACTTGAGATAATTAACTCATCAGAGAAACTTTAAGTACTGGTCACATAGAAAACAGTGAGTGAGTTAGAGGAACCTTCTCTGCCTCATTTGTTGGATATTGTGCATGAAATGGTATTTGTTATGAAATGAATCGTGACAGAAAGCTTGTCAGTTTTCTTGGAATAATCTACAAACTGCAGATTGAAACTTTTAAAATGCAAAATTTAGTTAGGTCAGGATGTGCGTCAATGTTTTTGCTGATTATTTGCACTGTTTTTTTCTATCTTTATTCTGTATTAGTTTATTGTTAAAACTGTGTTAAGCTGTTCTGCTCAGGTCCCTTTTTTAAAAGAGCGTTGTGTCCTCAGTGGGAAAATTATTATTAACTTTGCAAATCAATTAATTATCCTCAAAGAGCTGACTGATGGTGAAAAAGCACTTATACTAAAGCTGTAAATCATCAATTCTAAACAATGTGCAGAAAGATGCTGAACTGCTCTGTAGTGCTAATGGAAAAAGAAGAGCTCTGCACAAATTCACTGAGTTTACCATGACATCACAGACGTCATTTAATCACTTGTTATATAATGTAAATAAATACCAACAATAATAGCCCCAGGTTTAAGTTGTCTTGTTGTTCTTGTAATCACAATCAAATATCATTATGAAAAGTTTATTCTATTAAACCAATACAAAACATTTCACAGGGTTATTACATCATGCTGCTGTCGGATTGTCACCTACAAGATACTAGATACTAATGTAAATATGATCAGGTTTAGCTGACACTTTAGATTTGCAGTACAGTTCATGTTTGTGCTCCATTCGTGTACGTGTGCAGTCCTCAGGAGGCCGCTGTTCTTCTGATGTATCCATCAAATCAATAAAGTTTAAATGTTTCTAAAAAATGTAACTGAATCAGTGACCCGACCTGTCAGGTAGAACTCTCTTGCTGTAGAAGTCAGGCAGTCCATCCTCCAGCATACTGACTCCTCCATTCTCTGAGCAGTGCTACACACACACACACACACACACAGGACCGAAAAAGAGAGTAACAGGGGAACAATGAATCAATCCATGTTGCCAACTAAAGCTGAAAAGCTGACAGAAGGTTTATTTCATGTCGGATGGCTGGCTGGTTAAACTAAGTCCACTGCCAACAGGACTCTGTTTGTAAAACAACTCCTCATCATGCCGTCCTAACGGGGTTTGTACCGATTTAGAAAAAAGCTTTCACAAAGTCTTAAAACAAACATGCAGCTGAGTTCGAGGCTGCCCTGCAGCCCCCGGGGAGACAGTTGTGCATGATTAGCATTGAAGGCACAAAGACACATGCGCCAGCTTCCTGCTTTAAACTGACCTATTTTTGGACTTTCAGTGACATGAAGAACAAGATAAACACAAAAAGTTAACACAAAGCAGTCCAAAGATAAGGCGGTTTGAGTGTTGGTACAGAAGCTTGGCTATTCATGGCTGCAGACAGGGCCAGTTGTATTTGTAACTTTGCTTATTTTAAGAAAGTCTGACCTAAAGACTAATGCTATAATAAGAAAATGCAGCAGACTGGTCAGGTGTTCAGGGTCTGCTGGCTTTGAAACCGACAACAAATACATCCAAAATAAAAAAAAGAGCAACTCTGACAGCAGTTCTGACATACTGTTTACTGTGTGTACAACAGCATACTTTTATGGAGCAGAGTATACAGAGGAGAGACAAACGTTTTATGGACTTGATTCAATTACACGAAGAGAAATTGGAAAACCACAAAAGGCTGAAAGGAAATTTTTGGTCAAAGTAAGTTTTCTGATCTCACTGCTTTTATTGAATAATGACTGAGTGTCTGACAACCTATTGTTGGCATGATATGTTTACTTTAACTACACTCATTATGTGTCAGAGCTTTTAAAGAGAGAAATCTGAGCTGTGATAGCCTCTGTAGCTGTTAATGTGTCAGACAGATGATGTTGGACATGAAACCATCTCTGACTGGGTTACAGTTATATAAAAATTCACATTCAATTCATCGGTTTGCCTGGAAATAATGAAGTTCACTTCCACACTATAGAGCTGAACGGCTCATCAGTGAGCTGATGTCAAATACAGCAAACACTGACATCAACATTGGTTGTTCGGTTGGAAATGAAGTGGTACACCTGACCCCGTCTGCGGCGATGTTCAGTCTATCTACTGTGACAGAGCTCTGGCAGGTTTATCTAGAGTATAAAGGTGCCATAGTGACAGCATCTGCTGTGGGTAATACACTTAATATTTACAATCCCTCACACCAACCCATTTTAAAACAACAACAGGTCAGTTAAACCTTTCATGTTTCAGGAGTTACCCTATCAAAGTTTTCTGTCTCAAAAAAACTCCAGGGCAAGTTCTTTCTGTCTACTGGGAAAAAAAAAGGTGAAAGGTCACTGTTGTCCCATGTTTAATCAACTCACAGACTCTGGGGGAAGGTGACCTGGTCTGTGTCTGCGTGGTGGGCGGGGCCTGACATGGGTCACGTGACGCAGGGGGGAGCCATTGGTGGGGAGGGTGGACAGACACTCCCATGATGCCGAGTGGGTGAGAGAGGCAGAGTGCGGAGGAGCAGAGGGGGTCGGAGACGAGCTGGGTTCATCACCAAGACCTGCAACGAGATGAGAAGGATGGTAAGAAGAAAAAAAATACATTTTAAGTGATGCTGCAATTTTACTATTCTTAATGAATATATATTTTTTTTAAGGTTTATTTTTATGCCCTAATTTTAGAGACAGGACATTGGATAAGAGCCACAGGCCGGACGTGAACCTGGGCCACCCCCCGCCTGGAGGACCACAGCCTCCGTGCATGGAGCGCACAAACTGAACCATTAAGCCAATAGCGCCCCGATCATATCATGTTTTAAGGTGTAGCCTTTTTTCATTTCCACAGCTGAAGATGCAATAAAAAGAAATTAGTTTGAAATGCCTTTCACTTAAGACGTTCTTAAATATGATGAACAGCGCTAAAAGTAATCATAACTTTTTGAATGTAGGTTGTGACTAATGTCTTAGTGTGCCATGAGATAACGTCTAATGTGATTTTTCTCTGCATAATTAAAACTGAGCGAACGAGGGAAACATCATGCCTGCTGGAGAAGACACAATGGGACAGAAATGTCTCTGATACCCCGACTAAATGTTACTACCTTAAAAATAGGTTAATCCTTTTATTCCAGGTCATTTTATGTTTAAATTCAATACACTGATTTAGCATTTAGTGAGAAAAGTTAAACCCAGTTTATAGATTAAAAACATGTTTTTGCACACTTACTGAGGCTGAGGAAATACAGTTATTTCTCATCTCAGGACAAGAAGGGAGAAATAAACTTGAGGTCACAATAACTCACTCAGTCTGGTGGAGACGGGTCGGATTCTTCTGGTCCTGGAGCTCCTCTTCTTAATAGCCATCGTGTCCTTTTGTTAAAGGGGATTCAGGAATGAGTAGCAGTGAGTTGATTTTTTTACATTTCTAAACAAGTAAACACAAACATGACAACCACACACAGCAGGCCTACATCATTAACCCGTGGTATTTGATGAGTTTATCATTAATACATAGTTATGCAGTCATCAGGAAAGTGGAGCAAAGCTTTCAGAAATGTGGGACTAAGTGAAGAAGTGTGAAAAGTTACTTTAAAGGAGGGCGATGCTGTTTAATTATCATTGATCTGATGAGAATCAAATAGTGGATATATTAAATGGAGCTCAGCGTAAGTTTAAGCAGGAAGACTGGTTATCCTCTCCTGCTGTCTGCCTCATCACCCCTCCGAGTACATGAAGTCGTCATGATGGAGTCTAATCCCCAAAGACTTTGCACATTTATTTCCTAAATTGTTAAATAAATGATTGTTTGTTTTTCATTCAGTCTCTCCTGATTGAAATGTTTTAGTAATATATTCATGGTCAACTATCACGCACATGTCAAAAGAAACCACAAACACGTTACAGGCATGTTGGACACTTACGATTCCCAGGTTGACCCCGAACTCCTCGTCAGTAAACTCCAGAGACTCCTGGAGGATCCTGGACTGTCTGACCGTGCGTCTGCCTGTCCCGACGTCATCCCAACGCTTCACCTGAGACACCTGCCGCAGCTGATGCAACACACACAAAACCCATGGATGAACACACACACACACACACACACACACACACACACACACACACACACACAAGCATGGTAAAAAACACACACATAATGATGAAACCCGGAACGATATCCTATGGCAGAGGTTTCCATCCTTTTTTGACTTATGACCCCACTTTGACCTCACGCAACTCTGGCAACCCCACACACTGAAAACACATTTTACATCATAGTTTTGATTCTACTGTAAACACGTGTGACTCTGTGTGCATGAGCATGCACTGAGCGCATGGATGAGAGACAGAAAGACATACTGCAAGTTTGTTATGGTGCGCTCTATTGATCTCGGAGGTCGGAAATTCCGAGTTGCCGGTCTGATACGTCATCAGAACGCCCCACTGAAGTCGGGATTCAGACACAGAAACGTGGAGAACATCCAGTAGCCCGAGTGCAAATCCAACATGGCTGCTACGTGAATCAACAGTAACGTTTGAGCTGTAACTATTGTGTTTGTTTGCAGCTTAGTCCTCTTTTTGAGTGATTAAATCAATCACACCGACAGTACTGTATCGTATGTTGTCATTTTATTTTTGTGCACAAACTATCACTTAGTGTGTATTAGCTAACAAATAAAGGTGCTCCTGGAGGCGTCCATGTTGCTTGTCCGATTTGCTACTACAGTAGGACACGGTCAACCCAGGTGTGAGGTCATTCCCAGCTCCGAGGTAAATGGAAAGCACCATTAGATTTGCCTGTGTTCAGTTCAGACTAAAAAGCCCGTGCTAAAGTAGTTCAATTAAGGCAGCATGCTACAATTTATGTTTTATTGATCAATTATTCCAAATTTCAGGGGACCCCATATGAATTCCATTGGATCCCGTGTGGTGTAAAGCCTGTCTTATGGCTTTAAATTAGCTGTGAAGTGTGTCCGCCCTTGTACCTGATCCCAAACAACGCACAAGTCACAATGCATTAGTTTTAAAAGCCCATGAAGAATGAGAATAAGAAATATTTTTCGATTATGAGCGCAGAGGTTGGCGTTTCAGAGGACAAACAGGCACTGCAGCAGAAACAGAGACAGGAAAATGAGATGTGAAGATAGAGGCGGTGAATAGAATGTAAAACAGAGCAGAGCAGGCAGTGTTATTGCAAAAAGTCTGTTTTTTCCCCCGCTTTTCCACCAGCTTCATTTTAAACAATTTGATTTCCCAGGGAGGAGAACCTGCAGGGTCTAATCATGGCCTTAACTGACTCTAATCTAGTTTTGCACATTGTTTTAGAGGGCAATATTCTCCTAAAAACACAGCTCTCCTTCTAACCCCTCATCCTGATATTGTTTTAAAAACACAGAAGCTCAGAGATAGTGCCGACTTCCATCATTCAAAGATACTACAAATTAAAGATACACAACCTTCTGACAGCGGGAGAGATTTCTGTTACAAAGTTTCCACACATCAGGTGTTAACCGGTCCTCCACTCTACAGAATCTTATTTTATATTAGATTACTGTTCTGTGCTTCCACAACCCCGACAGGCAATGTGAATTCACAGACTGGGACACTGTTACGCCGTCACAGAATCAATATGACTGTAAAAAGACGTGATGACGGCTGAGCTTAGTTACGAGAAAAAGCAGTCTGAAAAGGGCAGCTGTTAACTTTTGCCGTGGAATATGTTGATAAAGTTTGGGCAGCGGGGCCGAAACCTACCCAGCACTGCACTGCATCAATGTTTTCAAGCATTAATGACAACAATATAACAATAATCATCATCTTTCTGTAGTCTTGTTTGCTTCAGTAGGTCATATAGAAACATCAGTAAATCCATTGTGTTCTACAACCAGCTAAAAACTCCTCTCAGGAGATGGAAGTGCTGCCTTTTGACACTCCAGTGTAATCTGTTTCTGCAGCACTCAGCTTTAAAATCTCTTCTCTAAATTGTCAGAGCTGGAGCTTTTTTTTTTTTACATTACTTATATCTGATGTAGACGTTTATTTGTAATAAATAGAGACTTCAGAAACATTGTCATAACTTAAATAGAGTAGGGCTTGAAGACAGCATGCTTTCAAGAATATCTTGTTTGGGAGTTCAGATGACTCAGTGACTCATCTCACTCTGGAGATGTTGACTCACAAAATGAAATCATGACATTGTACACAAACACACCGCACTAATCCATGACTGTACACAACAGGGAGTCTTTAAGCTGCAGCAAATTACTTTTGCATTAACAACAATTATTAAAAAGAAATAGAAAGTTGTTTTTAGGCATTGAAAGAAAATGTCCTTGATGCTGAAATACTGCTAAACCCTTTCAGAGTGCGGGAACAGACGTTGGACATATGGTGGCCTACATGTAGAGATAGTGTGACACTTTGCAAATGAGGTTATTCACCTTGGCTTGTTGTAACTGTGAGGTTGTCCAGGCACACTGAAGAGGATCTCGTGATTCCAACAGAGAAAGGGTCCCGCAGGAAAACCCACCCTTTAATCATCTATCGTTTCTATGTTTGTTTTTTTATGGCAGATACTGGTGGGAAGATTTGTTTTAGGCTTGGTACAAAGCCATGCCAGCTGTTTGCCTCTGCCTCCAGGCTGGGCAGTTATTTTAGATTCAGCCTGAGATTTGCTCTTCAGACAAAACTGCTTACTTTGTCATTTTTGTTCTTCCAGTTTTAGTCAATAAAGCCAAAGATTTGAGCCTCAACTTTTAGTCAAAACGTTTTCTCTCTTTAAACTTATTCAAATAGCTTCATAAAGGTATCAGAAAGGCGACAGGTTGTATTATCGGTTGTCCTTAACTCAAACACATGAACAACCTTAAACACAGGTAAACAATCAAATGCAGCAGACACATTAATGCAGCTGTGAAATGACTATAATCATAACACACTCACAGGGAACATATTACAGCACTATCAATACTCCGAGTACTTGAACATCATCTCAACAGTCTCTTGACTTGACCTGCTTACGAGCCACTTCCTCAGACGATCACCGGGTTCCCCTCTTGCACTGTCGTCGTGTTGCGGCTGGTACACGAGCAGTACAATGCTACACAGATGAGTCTAATGTTGTGAATCTTTATTGGCTTTTTAAAAGCTTTTTAAAAAAAGCTTTTTAAAAGGCTTTTTTAAGACCCCAAATATAAGACGATTCCACTTGTTTTGAAAGATGTGTTTCAAGCTGAAAACCTGTTTTATCCAGACCAAAATAGTCTTTAAGAATGTGAAACAACCTTTATAAACCCGACACACAATCCAAAGTTGTCTTTGAAATGAAGTTTTAGACTTCGGCTTCAAACATAGTCACACTTTTTCTCTACATTTCTATAAAGAAGTCATGCAGTAAAGGGCTATTACCAGTACCAGGGTTTTATGAGTGGTGTAGAGCTCTTGCAGAATCTGATCCACGATGGAGTTGGTTAGATATGAGACCACAGACAGCTTCACCTCCCTGAATAGAGACGACAATGAGTCATGGTTGAGTTTTTCCAGCTGGAGTTCTTTGCCTTACTTGAAATGTTTCGAGTAGTTTTTTTTTTCTTACTCCAGGGCTCGGTTGATATCCTCAGCTGCTCTCTCCATCAGGGCGTTGCGGATGGCGGAGCGAGGGATAGAGACTTGTTCAGAGATGGAGGAGAGAGGCGGGCTGAGTCTCTCCGCAGCCGAGCAGGACATGGGACACAATTCTCGACACAGAGACACCATGGAGTCCACCACCACCTGGACAAGGATGACCCAAAGCATCAATCAACGCATTTAAAAATACATATTGTATATCTTCAGTATATGTGGCGACGCCTCCTTTTCCTTTGTCGTGTAGAAAAATAATTGTTGAAGCTGCATTCTTATCTGTTCTGGATTACGGCGATGTCATTTATAGACATGCTGCAGCTTTAACTCTAACGCTGTCTATCACTCCACCCTCAGATTAATCAGCGGTGATAGAATCAGCAGTCATCACTGTGACCTGAATGAGAAGGTCTGTTGGCCTTCTCTTTAAGAGAGGTGCAACAAGCATTGTTTTTTTTTTACATGTTTTCAAGGCCCTTATTAGAAAACTTCCACCTTACATCACAGACCTGTTGGAGTGGAATTCAGGCACCTACATGACTCGTTCTTCTGATTGGCTTGTTCTTGAAGTCCCTCGAGCTTTCACTGAACTTCTTTTGATGCCCCGATTTTTTGGAACGCACTCCAGCGAATGCTAAAGGCTGGAGTTCTTCACAGTTTGAATTGATCTCAGTGGTTTCTGTAATTGGTTAAAAGTGTTTGTTGTTGTTTTTGATTGCATTAATGTGCTTGTAATCTAGAAAGCATTGTCCTCTCAACGTCCTTTGGGAAGAAATAAAGGTTTGAAATAAATTTCACACTGGACATAAGTCATACTTAACGATCACCTGACAACACCTCCTTCCAATCTGCTGTCTATGTAAGCTGCAGGATTTCCGGTCTCTTCCTCTTTGTTCTTCAAATGCCAGCTCTGACCTGCACCATTACTGCACTCTTGCTCAGCATCCACCTGAAGGCTACGACTGGGGGGGTTTAAGATATCATCCCATCACTCCTCAAATGTCTGCATGTAAATTAAACCTGTGAGGAGTGAGGAGCCTAGATGCCAAACTCAAACTATGTTCTGCAGCAATAAATATTTTAAACGATACAAACGTGACTTGTCTGACTGAACTAAACATTATTTTCCCAAAGCGATCAAGTATTTATACACAGTGTTTTTTTTATCTGCATTTCTCTGACTTGTCCTCTATTATTTACGTGCATGGCATCATTCCCTTTTATCATGAATCATTGTGTCAACATTCATAACAGCTGTTCACCACTTTACAACATGAGCCATTAATGCACAAACACATAAGTGGATTCCACATCATACTTCCAGTTGGTGTTAATACATTTGATTAACTTTGACTTCTGCAAATTAAAAAGTAGCCTTGTGCAGAACAGCACAAACAGTCATTTAAATAAGGCTTGAGTAAGATGAAATTCAACATTAAGTATTGCAGATTCCTCCTCGGGGTGTGCTGCTTCTTTATCATTCGACTGCGCCGTGCTGCTGAATGCCAATGGGAACAGAGCCAAACTACAAAAGTGTTAAATTCTTCCCTTTGAATTTCAATGCTATGTTCTTTCTTGAAGTCAGCATACCTGCGTCGCACAGTATTAATGGGCAATTTAAATGCAACTAGTCGGCAACTCCACTGCTGTTTAAAATACAGATGCATCAGGCAATACATCTTTCTGCGATTGCAGCAGCTGCAGCAGCAGCGTCACCTCCAAACCTACCTGCAGCTCTTTGTCAGCCGCCTTGGCAAGTTCTCCCGCCAAAGTGTCGAGTCGCTGTTTGACGGGGCCGTCCACCGACAGCACATGGGCCAACTCGCAGAGAGACGGATACAGCTGGTACCAAAAACACACACATGCAGGAGGAAGAAAGAAAAGAAAAAAAAAAGCAGGTTTTAATCAGTGCGTAGAAGGAGTATCTCTCGACTTTATGGCACAGGGAGCTAAATGTCTTAAGCTGTGATTTAAAAAGATTTAATTGAATTTGAGTCTCGCTGTCGGCTCCTTAAAAGTGCCATCAATTTCTGCAAATCACTAGTTGTTTCTTAATTTGTAGAAGTGAATTAGAGTTTATAAGAGGTGACTTCTCAAATTCTGTTCTGTGTTCACCGGTGCAGGGTAATTAAAGTAGACTCATACACTGACACAGCCAGCCTAAAACAGCCTATTGGTTTTTGTGTGATAAATATAGGAATGATAGGTAACAGTTATCTGACTTGGGACTCTCATCCTTCTCCTTTAAGTCCATATTTTCTTTGGATACAAACTTTCAATCTGTTGGGGGCACAGTTCTGAGATACTTGCTCGCTTCTGGCCTGTATCATAAGACATGAAGCTAGACTGTGGAGGGCAGCATTACACTCTACAGTGTAAAGCCTGCCGGAATAGAAGAAGAAAGGAGAACCTATGCCAAATGTCAATGAATAAACGAGGTGGGGGTGCCGGTAGCCTAGTGGTCAGCGTGCAGAGGCAATAGTCCTCCATGTGGGCGGCCCAGGGTCAAATCCGACGTGTGGCTCCTTTCCTGCATGTCATTCCCCACTCTCTCTCTACCCAGTTTATGACTCTATCAACCGTCTTGTCTCTGAAATAAAGGCATAAAAAGCCCCCCAAAAAAACCTTTAAAAAAAATATAAGCATAAATAAGCAAAATAGAAGCAGCTAAAAAAACAAATGTGATGTAGACTTTCTCTGTTCCACAGCGGCTCTTGTTGGGATTCTGTGAAGATCAACAATTTAGGAAAGACTTTTCTGTAATATGTAGTGAAATGGCAGTGAGAAACATTTGTTACATCCTGAGGTTTGACTGGTTCAGCTGTTGCAGAAGGAAAATGTTCCCTGCTCTGAACAGCGTTTCACTTTGGTCACTGTCTGTTTGTCTCTGTTAAACAGGTGCAATGAGTTCAACACTGAACTTGCTTTGTTTTCTTTTAGGTTGTTTAATGAATCGATGTATCGACAGTGTCGGTGCTGTGTACATTTAAACTTCTCATTTTGGTTCTTGTGGAGTTAATCTGGTTCCAGCTGCTCTGTAGTGTTTTCACTTCCAGGCTTTGGGTCTTTAGGTCGACCTTGTGTTCAGTTTATTGATGTAAGATTCTTTGTTAGTCTGTCCTTAAGTCATACTGTGGAATATGTCTGTGTTGTCATAGCAACCTACACCAAGCAGCTTTGTAGTTTCCATGAATGTCATTGACTCACTTGACATCTCACTAGTGTGCTTGTTCTGCGATGACTCTCAGACTTGATCATAACCTCTCTGGTTCCTTTCAGCCAATATTTGATGTTTCCTGTTCCTCCAATGCTTTGAACAATATGTCCCGTGTATTTCTTCAGCCCGGCATAGTAAGGACCACACCTCGTTTCCCTTTAATTTGAACAAAACTGCTGACCTGACAGCTTCTTTTTTAACCTCTATTATTTCATTTAAACCTAACTTGACTCGCCAGCTGGTAAAGATCTATTTCTAAAGTTTACGTGAATAATCAATAAACCTCAAATATAGACATTACTAACATTAAAGGCAGGTTTGGTAATTTACAAAAACTAGCATGATTTTGAAAGTAGCATTCCCTCAGTGCCCCGTCTGCACCTACCCCCTCCCCCTCTGTGCTGCTTCAAAAGCCACGCCCCCTCACTTACATGCAACATGCGCCGTTTTTCATGAAGCGGAGCTCAGCTTGTCGCTTTGCATTATGTAAAACTACTTCGTCTCATTCAGCGCTGAGTAAACACCAAATTTTTATCATAATATATGTTTTACTACTCACAAAGGACAACAAAAAAAATCACTGTATAAACTCTGTCATCGGTGACCAGCTTTGAGTGTGGGCTAGTGCACGGTAGAGAACGAGCAGGGAGACAGGGAGGCCTGATTGGTTCATCAGATTGATACCTCTTGGCAGATATTTGTGGAAGTTTTTACAGGCTTACAATTGATACAGATGACAAATTTTCTTCATTTCTTTTTCAGAGCATATCTTAAAAAGTGTATCTGGGGAAAATGACTTACCCTGCCTTTAAGTGGAACATTTTTTCATAAAGACTGAGATCTTCATCTGTCACTACACCAATGAAATAAAAGTAATGCAGACAACAGTAGTTCTTTACCCACTGAAATGAAGGATCGTTGAGGTAGAAAAAGTGTAAATTACACATGACTGAGTTTAAAGTACACACTGCATTAAGCCATTTTTGGCAAGTTGAGGATAAAAACAACGCTAATATTAACATGTAGTTTAATGTGGTGATGTTGCTCAACATCCAGTAAACATAAAATCAGAACTGGTATTTATAAGGACTAGTGCTTGTGGCCACATGGCAAATAAAGGTCCTAAATTTAACTTAATGTGGTTCTGTTTTTGGTCAGCCTCAACTCCTGATGAATCATCTGGCTCTGTATCAGCTGAAATGCTCCAGTCTTTTCAAATAGCTCACTAGCTAATTGCAAATATTGTACTGGGGCATTATTCAAGTTTTACTGCTGAAAATAGCTTTGTGCTTTGGCTGAGGATAACTGTAATGAGAGAATGAAAAGTTGTGGATTGGGGAAAAAATGGCAGAAATAAATACTTTAGAGCTTTGTAGAGCTTGTAGATCCTGAAAGGTCAGGATAGAAATGTCTGAGGGTTTGTCAGAAGCTGTTGATATTAAAAATGTGTGTACTACACACATTTTTAATATCGACAACTTCCAACTTCTGTGACTTCTGTGTAGTCTCTTTAAGTACTTTATTACTTGAGTTAATTTTGTAGTACTCAAAATCGGTCTTGGTCTCAAGACCACTTTTTGAAGGTCTCGTCTCAGAATCTAAAGCGTTTTTACTCAGTCTTATCTCGCTCTCAGCTTTTTGATGAATTTTTATTGATATTTATGGTCTCGGTCTTGACTCTGTCTTGCCCTGTCTTGGTCTCGGTCTCGAGTAGATCTCGATCCCTAAATGTCTTGGTCTCGGTCTCGGGGCACTCTGTTATCGGGAATGTCTTGTTCTCGGTTAGTTTGGTCTTGAATACGACACTAACTTGAGTAAACAAAACAGTTCTTGTTGAAAATATTGTCAACCAGTGATTACAAAGAGAAATAAACTGTTTCTAACAGAACACTTACTTTATAAAGTTTGAAGATGTCCCATAACATATTTGAGATACTAGAGGCAGAAATTATCCGTGGGGACAGTAAGGGTAAATAATGATTATCCTTTGTGTATGAACACTGAATAAATCAGGTCCACAGATGGGCCACCCCAGTGAGAAAGTGTGGACTTCAAACCTGCTAGTTAAACTAACACACTTTAAAGCACGTCATGTGACTTTGTCCAGCAGCACCACACAGGGCTCTGTTGATGGGACAGAGGGGGGGGGGGGGCAACAAGCGAGGGACAGGGACTCAACTTTCACCCAGATCAAAGTCAGACAACTTCTCAAGGATTACAATCTTTCCTTCATCGATCTCATTCACAGTGGCTGACACTGCTTCTGCTGGGAGAGTCACTGTCGGATTTCAAGGCTGTAAAAGCCTTTCCTGCTGAGACGGACAAATCATCGAAACAAACAGAAAAGGACAAAGATACTGCTGAAAGTTACCAACTGGTCTACTCTTCTCTGAAGTGTTTTAAAAGCACAACAAAACAGTTTCTGTTGATTCTAGTCAAGTCACTTCATTCAAATAGCACATTAAAAAACTACAGGAGTTGAACCAAAGTGCTTTACGGCAGACATTTCTTAAGAGATGAGCTCATAAAGAGACAGCGCAGTGCACCACTCTCTCTCTCTCTCTCTCTCTCTCTCTCTCTCTCTCTGTCATTAAAAGTCAATGTTGATCCAATCAACGAGATCTCCCTCCCTCCCTCTAAATAAAATATAAACCAACAACACAACAATGTGTCATGAATCATTATGCATTCTGTTTTCCACTAGGCCCATAAGAGCAACGTGCTTTATGTGTGTGTGTGTGTGTGTGTGTGTGATGAAACAGGTATTGAAATTGGCGGGTGAAAAAAAAGCTGTCTGTGAATGGTAAATGTTTCAGAGAAATATCTTCAAAAGAAGCACATTATATAGTGTAGTATAGGAAAAGGAAACAGGTGTAACTTCTTGCCCTCAGTGACCCTACCACCCTACTGCAGACACATTGCTCAAATAGTGAAGGCATAAAAAATGCATGTGCTCTGCTAGTGCACAAAAATGACGTGAATATAAAACATTTTTGTGCCTTTGTTTTGGACTGTGGGCAGGCTTCCTCTGCTATTCAATGGTAGGGAAAACACTGTATATCAAAAGTCATTTTTTATGCTGATGATCTTGTTTTCTTTTATACCCCCATAAAGAGGGCCCAATATTAATTTGGCCCCGATTCTTTACCACCTAAAAAGTCCTTACAGGAGCTTTAAGTAATAGTCTACTCACAGCTCGGGAGTCTCTGGCTTCTTTCAGGATTTGTCTGGCAGTCTGAACCTCCTCTCCTTCCTCACAGCCTTTAAGGACACACACCTGCTGCTGCACGCGCACACACAGACGCTCCATAACCTACACACACAAAACATACAAAAAGAATACATCACTTCAAATGATCAAATACAGAAAAAGTAGGGAAAATGTACGACGAATTAACATTCCTGAGTTGTTAGCCATCGTGTGCACAAACACTCACCTGTTCTGCAGTGCTGGTGACGAGGCCCTGGTGCAGCCTGAGCGCCTGCTTCTGTGAGAAACGCTGAGTCTGGTTGTTCCTAAGCAGGGCACGTTGGATCTGTCATACACATGCACGGAAAACAAACAAGGAGAGAGAGGAGAGGAGATGACAGGTGTTTACAAAGCACAGTGTGCAGGAGACAGGAGACAAGTCCATTTGCATGGTAATAGGGAGACTGGAGAGAGAGACGTTTGATCTGCAGAAATAAATGGGATGCCTTAGATTTTTTTTTTGTTGCCTTGACTCAGCAGGTGGAAGTTTTCACTGCTTAATCATCTTATGTAAAAAAGATGGAATCAAGGGTTCCCCCAAGGACTCAGGAGATTTCAAGACAAGCACAGACCACAGTACACTTCACAAACTGTGTGAACGATCTTAGAAGAAAAAAGTCTGAAAACGATACATTTCTCTTTTTCCACAGCACATCTACTTCTGATGTAAGAACCAAGTGCCCTGGGTCTCATTGAAACGTATGTTCACACATGCAGTTGATGTTATTTTCATCTGTTTGCAGAGTTTTATCAGAAATGCTCCTTCAGCCTCCGACACTCTGGGGAGGAGAGAAGTTGTGAGTGATTGAGTGGCAGCTGAGCCGTAAGGGAAATGAAGGATGACATGCAGTGTAAACAAAGTATCTCTGTAAACTCAAGCTTGCAAGCTATGTGACAAACATCATTTCGTGAGAGGCGCCACTGAAGACAAATGACCGCATCCTTCATGATGTGAAGTGACAGCTCTTATATTCAGCTATAGCTATCTCTTCTGTCGAGGAATGGCGCATTTTTGTCTTTTGATTTCAACAAGCCAACGTGCAAAATCAGATAGTGGTACGTGCCAAAGGACAAAAAAAGACAATACAAGCGAGAGCTGACGCTTGCTGTTTGAACAGTCTTCGTCTCCTTTAGCAGGCTGCTCAGTGGTTGTTTGTCTTGTCAGTTCATGTCCCTGTCATACCCATGAGAGAAGGTGACTGCTTTCTGAATGTAGCTTGAAATTAAATGTTTCAATTGGCTCTATTGAAAGAAATAGCCAGATGAAGATATGGTAGTGGAATAAAAACATGTGATGGGAACAGAGGAGAGAACTTTTTATAGCACAGGTAGAATGGAGGAAACAGATGAAACAGTGTAGCTTAACGTAAGGTGGTTATTTAAAACACAGAACTGCTTCAGTTATGTTGAAGAAGAAGATATACTTTAAAATCCTGTGAGTGGAAATTACATTTTACACTCTGTTATTGAACATGCTACATACACACAGGCCGAAATACACACACATGCACAAACAAGATGCATGAACATGCACTAATAGAGAGATGTCAGAGTGAGGGTGCTGCCAACAACGAGCGCTCCTGAGCTGCTGGGGGGAGTGGGGTTTGGTGCCCTGGGTACCCCAAGGTAGTGCTCAGAATGTGAACTTGCACCTCTCCAGCTACTAGACCAATTTCCAGACTTGGTCCGAAGACTGGACTTGAACCGGTGACCCTCCTGTTTCCAACCCAAGTCCCGTACAGACTGAGCTACTGCCCCCCGAGTAAGAGTAAAAATGCAAACAGCACTAAAGATCCATACGTATAAACCATAGACTGTAAATATTAGGTATAAACATCCACCACTTCCACTAAAGAGATAACAGAAAGCATAAAGGCTTTATAGATGACATCTGAAATGTATGTTCTAAAAAAATGCCAACTGAGTTTTATAAACAGCCTGAAAAAATGTTGACAAAACATCAAAGAACGTTCTTGTTTTTTTTTAGCTGCCTCCTTGTTCAAGGAGTTCAGAATGACAGGCTGTAAACTCTGCTAACAGAGTCACAAATGATCAGAAACAACAACACTAGCTGTGAAGAAGCAGAGAAGGAGATAGAAAGTGAGGGCAGCAGAATGCAGGGTGGTTGTAACTTCAGTCTGTTGGCTGCTCTGGTGATGACTGGTAGTTTTGAACCAGATGGCGCTGACGTTATGTTATAACCTCTCCTTCCTAACTCCTACTGGCAGTGGTAAAAAGTAATTCATTAATGAATACGAGCTACAGGCACATTTTTATTCTAACTGACTGTGTAGAAACCGTTGACGAGAAAATGATGAGAGACAATTTTCTGGTGCGCATCATAATCATTCAGTATCGAAGGTGACGGCCCCGTGGTCAGGGACCGTCAACCATCAGCCATGAGCGATGGCAGGTTAAAATCATAAACTTACAGGTAACAACATTTGTTACCATTTCTTCCATGTCTTTAAAATGAAAAGACACTGAAATCCTTGGAAGCCAGATTAATGTGACATGAGCTCAACCACTATCATTTAAAGCTCCTGTAAGGAACTGTTAGGTTACATGTCTTGTGGCGCCCCCCTGTGGACCAAGTGTACATCTTATTTCTTCCTATTAATTTGTGAGCAGTGTTTTCTGGGGAAAAAAATCTCCTTCTTTATTTTAAACATCTCGTGTATATCTCATCGCCTCGTCTGACACCTGGGCAGGGGTCACTACCACATAAAATCAAGATAAAGGAATTCATTTTGTTGTTTCTCTGATGGTCCGCTTTAGTATTGTAAGTTATAAAGAGGCATCAGTATGAATTCCAGTCTGTTTCTTTACAAGATAAATACTCCTTATGGGAGCTTTAATATTAAGTTTTAACATATAGATTTATAATCCCCTCTGTTTTTTACTTTCAACAAGTTGTAACAAAGAATCACGCTGACCGTTACCATCAGGTGCTGCTGGTTTTATTGCTGCATTTCCGGAACATGATGAAGAACATTTAAACACCACAAAGTGAAGGACCAGATGAGCTTCTCTCACCTTGGTCAGGGCCAGGTCCGTCTTCTCCGGGGCGCTGCGGTACGCCTGTGTGACATCACTGAGGGGGATGGGCATGAACTGAAGGGTGAAGTTGCTGTTAAGAGGAGAGAGAGAGAGAGAGAGAGAGAGAGAGGGAAGAAAGATGACGTCACCCCCATAACAAGAGAAAGTGTTGTGATGTTAACCAGAACAAACACGCAACACCCACAGCATTTTGAACAGTTGTCTTGAATTCCCAAATACACAAATGCACCCACGCACACTCACACTCACACGCATGAAAAGTAACATCACAGCCACACACTTAAAAAAATAAAAATAAAACGTTTGACAGACACACACGTCAGAGGACTGATGAAACGCTGTGTAACAGTAAACATTGTACAGAGATGGCAATCTGCCTGTGTGTGTGTGTGTGTGTGTGACTGATCCTTTTTATGTGTGTAGGCCCCTTCAATCGTTTTTGTGTGTGTGTGTGTGTGTGTGTGTGTGTGTTGTGTTGTCTTACTGCTCCAGCGCTCTAGCCACATCTTGGAAGCCTGTCGCTGTGGTGTTGTTGCGATCCCACGTCACACTCCTGAGAGCAGATCAAACGAGAGGGAAATAGGAGTAGACAGGCAGAGAGAGGAAGAAGGAGAAGATCAGACACTTTCTAAAGCTCCTCACACACACACACACACACACACACACACACACACACACACAGTATCATAGTTACATTAATAAGTAATGTAACTATGATACTGAGCATGCATCTTCACAAACATCACAGACATAATAGCGAGGCATTCTCAGAACTTGCTGCTCAATGTAAAGACAGAGTCCATATCTCAAAATTAGGAATGCATGAACGAATGCCATGCAACTAATGAGCGCCTGTTATTCACAGTGCAGTTTCTCCACCTACACGCCGTCTAACTCCTGTTTTTAATATATCAGTCATTTTCAGCCCCTCTTTCCTTTCATCCATCCTCCTCCACCTCCTCCTCCTCTTCCATCTCTCCTCTCCCCGACTTGCTCTGACTTAGAAATTCAATCAGCTAAACCCAAATCTAACTCCTTGGGAGGTCTCCCTCCCCCGTGCTGACGTTACTTTCTCCCTCTCTAGTCCAAAGCCAACCATTTTCCCATCCTAATACTGGCATCCCATTTTTCTTCCTTTCTCTCAAAAATATCTACTCCTTCCATTCCCATAACATAAACAAGTCGTCACGTAGTTTCTATTTGTACATAAAGGTGGTGCAGTGCCATGTACGCCTGAAGGCCATTTTCCCCTCCTACCTCCCTCTTCCAATTCTCCCCGCTATCCCTCCAACACCTGTCTTCCCCTCTTATCTCCTACATGGTTCACTTTGAAGCTTAGTCAGCCTCTCAGCAGGCTCCACATATCATCTCAAAAACATACCAAACATATTAATTTTACCACTGACCCTATTATTTATTCCATCCTCTTACACCCTTTTTTCTCTCATCTTACTCCTCCTGCATCCTCCACTTCAAGTGAAAAAACCTCCACTTCTCCCGATAGACAACTGATTGAGAAAACACACACAAACCTGAGTGTTGTGTTGATCTGCAAGGCTTTGCTGAGCATCTTTGCGCCAGAGTCCTCCAGGAGGTTTCCGCTCAGGTCCACCTTTCGTAGGCAGGTGTTGGAGCCCAAAGCGTTGACCAGCACCGTGCCCCGCTGACGGAGCCTTGAGTCAGCCAGGGAGAGGGACTGAAGGGCCTGGCAGAGAAAGATAGAAAAAAGATAAAAGATGATTTGCAAACGAGAACATTTAATGGTGAAGTTGATGTGAGAAGCAAGTCTATGATCAAGACATTAAAATTGATATGAGACATTGACCAATGGATGAAAACAGATAATAGTCATACAAGTATTCAATGGTAAAATGTTGCGACAATTATTTCTTAATCAATTTTCTCAAAAAATATTGAAATGTATTTATAATTATACAAAAGATGGAGAAAGAAAATACTGTCAATAATACAAAAAACGAGATGTAACTCGATATTTAAAACACCATTTTCATCTGGGCTCAGCTACAGATCATCGATTTTCTTCGATGAGGGAGATCAACTGCTTTTTCGCACTCACTACTAACTTGCATGTCCCCTTTCCTTAATCGGGAGGAATTTAAAAGTAAGTAACAATATTTTGCTTGAATCCCAACTACTATATACCTTGAGAAACAGCATCTTCTTGTGGATGCACACGTTCAAAATGTAGAGCACAATTATATCTTTATACTGTTAACATTATCAGAAACAATCTTTTGTGAAAAATGGGTTTGATTTTATTGGGTGGGACTTTCTGGCATAGTACTCAACTGGTTTCAGTTTTACTTTAAGGACAGGGACTACTTTTTGTCTATAGGTAACATCTGAGAAGACAAAAACTACACATGGAGTTCCCCAAGGCTCCATCCGGGGGTCTCTTTTGTTTATCATCTACAAGCTTCCACTGATTCAGATTATAGAAAACCACAACATAAGTTACCATAACTACACAGACTCAAGGATAAGTGATTTTAAAATACTTCTGTTAGTTTATAAAGAACTGACTGGTTAAGGGCCAACATACTGTACACTAGTGACCTTCTGTCCCAAACTCAGAACCAAACATGGAGAAGCAGCGTTCAGTTTTTATACTCTGTATATCTAGAACAAACTCCCAGAAAACTGCAGGTCTTGAAAGTTCTTTTAATATAAGGCTGAAGACTAACCTGTTTACGTCTCCCTTTTTTAAAAATATTTTATTAAATATATTTTAGCATACATTTGGGGGTGGCTGAGCTGACTGACAGGTGGGTGTAAGGTAGCTGTTTGCCAAATTGCTTAAGGCCCACCTCAACTCCACCTCTTTGTCTGTTACAAGATCGTTGGAGATAGCACTTACAACATGGCGACCACGATTGCTGTGCTTCAAAACGCCTCTCCAGAAAACAACTAGTGACGCCACTAGGACTACGTCCATGTTTTATAAAGTCTATGCTTTGTATAGAGCCATGATCGTTTTTTTCATCTAATTCAAGTCTTTGTGCTGGGCTAAGCTAACCCTCTCCTACTTAACACTAATGGGACAACCATAGAGAGAGAGAGGGACAGATTGTTTGTTCAAGTATTTTAAATATGCCATTGGGAGTTGTCATTTTCTCATTTGTGATGTTCTCAGCCTTCTGTGACTCGTGTACTGAAGCATTAACACTGGGCGTTGAACCAAAGCTGCACAGGGGACGAGCACAGACCATTCTGATGCTTGTGTTTATATTGATTTCTGAGTAAGACCATTCTCTGACAAACATGGTGTACTTACTTTGAACTCACATGTACACCGATCTGTCCTCATGTTGTATGCACTTGCACACATGCATCGGACCATATTCAGTGCAAGAACATAGTTGTGAGCTATCACCATCAACAGTGGTGAATAATTGAGTAAACTGCTTGTCATGCTGGATTTGCAGTTCAGAGCAGAGAGAGAGCCCTGGAGCCTCGCGAATTAACTGAGACCAAATGAATCACTCGATCCAGAGCACAGATGACACGACTGGTGTACATGTTTGCACCTTGTGAGTGTGTCAGATGGCAGATTGAGTTTAAATGCACAAGAATGCCGACAGAGGAGTTTAAACGGTGAATTTAAATGGTGACATTTTTGGTGTGTGAACAGGATGTGTGTGTGTGTGTGTGGATACAGAGATCTGTGAGGCAAGTGTAGGCGTGCATCTGTGCGGAATGCCACAGAGGATTTGTGCGTGTGTGTGCACAATATGTTACATAATCCAACTCACACACTCTTCCTCTTGCACCAAATGAACCAGTTTCTGCAGAATATCATCGAGCACCCTGAGGAGGCAGAGAGAGAAGAGGGAGACATTCATCATCAGAATCATCTTGAACACCATCTGTGCGCCTGGTTCCCCCGCGCAATCCGTACCTGCCCTTGATGTTGAAGTTCTTCCCCAGCATCAGGTGTTTGAGGGAGGGGTGTCGGGAGAACGCTGGGATGACAGCCAGCAAATCAGCATCCAAACCTGCACACAACAGAAGACAACACACACATCTATGGAGAACAAATTCAATGCAGGCAATTCAAAGCTGTTGAGCTTTTGTAAAAACCCATTTCCAGATAGATTTTTTTTATAAAGGATGTACGAGATAAGTGGATTAAAAGATTAAACGTTGTCACCCTCGCTGGTTGGCACCATAATTACTAGTTATTAAACTAATCAAACCTTTTTGTATTCATGTGGGCCCCAGTGCCAGTTAAACATTGGGTTTGAGCTGAAATGCAACCAGAGCGGTTGAGGGTTCAGTGCCTTGCTCAAGGGCACCTCAGCAGTACTCTGCAAGTGCCCTGGAACCTCCCCCAGCAACAGAACAACTTCTGTAATTTGGTCCGCACCGGGACTTGAACGAGAGACCCTCCGGTTCCCAACCCAAGTCCCTACACCGCCAACAATGTTAACATTTAAGGAGGACTGAAGGATTGTGATGCTAGCACTGCTAACATTAGCCGCACTCAGCAAACCAACTTCACCAATTTCCGTTAGCTTGCAGTAGCTTGTGTTCAGTAAACATCTGAAAGTTATGGACCATCAGGACGCCTTCTCCAATTATTTCCATTTTTTTAGCAGCGGAAGACAAAATGTTTAACAGTGACAAGCTAATCCTAATCAATGGGATCCCTGATCCATACTCACTGTCAGATCAGTGGGTCAGTGGATCAGTAGGGCAAGGATCCAACTAGAGATACAGTGGCCGGATATCTTTGGATACCTAATTGAGAAACCCAGCATCTAAAGAGGAAAAACTTGAGGAATACACATTTGTTGATGCATACAGTTTTGTGCTTTGAGGTCATGTCCGGGACATTGAATACTGAGATTTGTCGGACGGTATTTGGTATTGAAAGCTGACAAACTGCCCAGCAAGCGGCAAGGACATAAGACGCAGACATCTATTCAATATGTTGTATCGATATTTCCACTTGTTTCACTGTTTTTCTGCCAACACAATGCATAAGCAATGGCCGTGACGTAATTGTGACGTCAACTCTACACTGGTTTATTTATTACAGGTGCACAGCTGATTCACCTGTCAAAGCCTGCTGTATACATTTTAAGGGAAACTCTAGCTCAAAACTTATTTCCAAACCTTGAAGTTTATTTCACATACAGTAGAGATGGACGGTTATCTTAGGTTTTAAAGGTCTTATATAGAAAACATTTCTTATTGAAACATCAATGGTTTAACATAGCTGATAATTAATGATATTGTTAGTCTTAATCATTTAATCTTCCTTTGTTATTTTATAGTTTACAGATCATTGTTATCTCAAGATAACTGAGGCAATGAGTTTCATTTTCATTCTTGTAATCTGCACATTAACACACCGCTGAGCTGGGTGAGTTTATGTCGATTTTATTGTTAAATAAAATGAAAACAATAAACAAACTGTGACCTAATGCCACAATACGATTAAATGAAATGATCATTTATACATTAGTAATGTGTATCTATATATATATTTGACCATAACTGTATGTAAAGCTGTTATATTTTATGCAGATCAGGGCTGTGAGAATATAGAGTTTCAGTAACTGTTATTATCAGATTAGTCTGAATTTAAATATTCATTTAAACAACAAGGTAATTAGTCCTTAGGAACATCCCTCATTTCTATTTTAACCTTTTAAGTTTAGGCCTAAATAAAGGGCTGGAGGGTAAAGGTCAAAATTTAAAACAATAAAAAATGTAATTTATATGCCAAGTAAAATTTGCAGATTTTTTAATACAGAACATTCCTCTGCCTTCATTCCAGTGCAACGTTTTCTGGCTTTCAGAGCTCAGCGCTTCTCTCATGGTCTGTTTGGATCTAAATCCCAGTGCCCACAGAAATTCCAAAATACTCCCAATTAACCCCCCCATGCTCCCACCCACACAGATTTTGAAAGGCTCAAGGATGGAGGATGCTGCTAAAAAGAGATAGTTACCATGGTAAGATATTCCAGCCACAAGGAATGAAAAAGCCTCATTCAGGGAGCAAAAATACCTGAGGTAAAATCAGCTTCAACAGCTTCAATGTGAGTTTATTCTAATGTCAATGACAGGACGCTGTGACGCGGTCGAGCAGAGCAGGGCTGCATCTGAGGCTCCCCACGAGGAGGAGAGATAATTAATTCTTCTGAAGAGCTAAATGGCTGCTCAGAAGTGAAGGCCGTGGTCATCTCATGAGCTCTGACTTTCTCTGACTGGAAGTATGATTGGTGAAAACATTTAGTCTGTTTAGAATAGATATCATCTGATTTGATGATTCAGTGTTGGTGAAGTTAAGTGGTTCAGCATAGGATGTACGTGAGTGAGCAGGACTGTAGCTTCAAGGTAACAGTCTCTATATAGCATTTCTATAAAGCATGAATGAAAGTTTGAAACTTTACTGTACTCTTTCAGTCACACAGTCTAAAGGGGTGATTAGCAAATATTTCTGAGCATGAGTCACAATGATCAAAGAAAAAAAAAAAGCTAAGGACACCTTTTGTGTTTAAAATGAAACAAAGTTAACAACAAAACATCCACCCATCAGCATGTCAAAGTGCCCTGACTCATTCAGATTAATGTTTATACATTCAGAAGCTGCACAGTACTAAACGCCCAATCCATGAATAATGTTAGCAGATATTGGTGTATCTCATGTATACTGGTGTGGTTGGTATGGTTACAGTAAAGCACTGGTAGAACGACATTAAATACATACATACTGCTGAGTTTTAAATGGTTTAATTTTTCATGTGGGGCTTGCTCGGATTACAGTGACTACTTGGTAAATGGACACATTTACACACTGATGGCAGAGGTTGCCATGTCAAGTGACCATCAGAAGTAACTAATCCCATTCATACACATTTACACAACGCTGACGAAGCAGCGGGAGCAATTTGGGGTTAAGTGTCTTGCGCAAGGACACATCGGAAAGGAGCTGGGGATGTGCAGCACGTGAATCCAAGCATTACATATGGGTAGACGGTGGTCTGCACATGGGAGTGGATGATAATGTATAGTAATGTAAGTAATTCTTAACCATGGTTATTTGATCTAAAAAAAACATTCACAGTCATGTAGCTGATGTAGTTTCAATTTAGTTGAAAATGTTGGAAAAAAGTGTATCCGTTTAATACGTCCAAACATGTGTGGAGCTCTAATTGGCTGCTCATATGCTAAGACATCCACCAGAACAACTATCCTGGAGTACTTTCTTTACGTATGTTAAAATGTTTGTCTGTCTTGACCACACCAGCTGCAACTAAAAACTAACAAGACAAAGATTTTATGACAGTCCTTCCCATTTAATAAAGAAGGAGCCATCTTAATTGATATTGCACCTTAGAGGTGAAAGTTCCCTCAGAAATGTGTCAGATCAAAACGGAGTGACACTGATGCACAGAGTGTGGCTCTTTATTTACTTTGCTCTGTTAGTATTCCAGCGTGAATGCAAAAGACAAATCACTTGTTTGCTTATAAATGCCAGAGTCCCTGTTGTTGTTGTTTCAAGTCACAATTGCATTAGGTGATCACACATCAGCTGCCTCATTCATCTTTCACATGAGCTGCTCGGCCAACAGCTCATTGCTGAATCATATTCATGCAGCTGCAGAGCTCTGACACTTCTCATTATTCCTCTGCTGGTACACTAAAGTAAACACTGTTCTCTGTATATTGCTGATTTATTTAAGCCTTAATCCTCATGTATGTTTTGTAGGGCATTAACTCTCCCACAGCAGAGACCTCGCTGCTACTTGAATTCTTCGAAGAACCGTTTGAAGAAGCATTTCCTCAAAACAGCATGTTTGTTGCAGGAGTTCCCACAACATATTTTTCTGACAAATCTAAATGCTTAAGCGTTTTCTATAAATTCTTCATTCCTTCAAACACACTGAAGTGTTACAATTGTTACAATGTTACAATTCACTTAGCAGACGCTTTTATCCAAAGCGACGTACATCAGAGATGTTGCCGAGGCAGCGGGAGAAACGAGGGGTTAAGTGTCTTGCCCAGGGACACATCGGACATGTTGCTCAGCTGGGGATCGAACCCTCGACCAAGCGGTTGAGAGGTGACGACTCTACCAATTGAGCCACATCTGTGAAGTGTGTGTTGGGAAATGAAGCCAATGCGGTAGTGCAAAAAACTGAAATTCCACCTGAGGATGGCTGAAAAGGTCAAGGAATCCCCATTAGGTTTCTTATTCAAATGCTTAATGATGAAGCCAATTTAACAGGTTTACAGCCTGGTTTAAAAAAAAACATTTCTTTATTGGTACGCACTGTAGGTGGGACCAATAAATAACTCGACCGACAGGTGAGGGAATTATAGCTGAAGTCTCGCCTCAGCTTTACCTCTTTGACATGTTGCCAGCTTTATCTAAAGTAAGGTTGAAATAGCATTTCTAATATTGTCGTTCAAAACGCCTCTTCAGAAACCAATGTGTGACATCACAGAGACTACATGCATGTTTTATACAGTCTATGCTCCAGACCAACAGAAGACATAACAAGAGGGTCAAAAGGGTTCAAAGTATCAGTCAAATGTGAAAAAAAAACAAAAAAAAAACACATTCTAAGTCCCTTGGTTGTGTAAGTGTTAGCTTAGGTGTCTCTTACCATTATCAGAGATGTCTAAAGACCCCACGCACGAAACTCGAGGAAACAGCTCCTGAATCACGCCGGCACCTGCTGACCTCAACTGTAGGAGAAAGAGCGGAGCGGGGCATGATGGGATAGCCTCGAGCGTTAATCTAAGAGGAGGATGAGTGCATCTACCTACAGCAGCACAGACTGACAGAGCGTACCTCACAGCTGCTGATGTCCAGGTGTAAATCAGTGATATGAGGGTTATTGGACAGACCCAGGAACAAAGCCCTGAGGGAAAACACAGGCAGGAGAGGGTGAGAAAAAGAGAGAGAGTTAAAGAAGGAGAGAAAGAGAGGGAGCAGATGAGGGAGAGATTAATGGAAAGCAGATAAGGAAGGAAAGGAGGGAACAGGATAATTGGTAGATAAGAAGAAACAGTGCAAATAAAGGCAATTAGTGAACAAAGGCAAGGCAAAAAAAAGCAAGGAAGATCAGTCCCACATAAATTCCTCCCTCTAACGACCTGAAGAGATCATCAGATCCCTCCCTTCATGCTGCCCCACGTTCTCCGCTGCACACCGCAAAGTTTTAGAGCCTTCTTAAAGGATTGAGAGGAAAGTAGCTTAAAAAAGACGGTTAATTTCAGTATAAGTCCCATCCAGAAATCACCTTAAAAACCTTCCAACATTTACTCAGGAGGAGGAGCTAAATGTTGCTCATGCACGGCGCACATGCACACACAAGCTCAGGCGGATGAAGAAAGATAAAGCTACATTTGCACATCATGGCACTGCTGGAGATTGTTAATGTTCGTTAAATACACATTTAAGAGTTATGCACCATGAGGAGGTTATGCGGAGAAGTGCAAAGTGGGGAGTCCGCTCCTTCGGTTTTTGGCGGCGATCCATCATGCAGTAGTCATCTTCTCAATTGTTGGCAGTTTGCTTTGTTTAACTCTGCTATTGATTCAGTTTGTTGGCTTTGAGACACTGACAGCACGCTACACAGCTAACAGAGGAACTAAAATAGCATTAGTATCTCCGGTGGGATAATTCCCTATTGGTGGTTTAGCTACAGATCTCCTGAAGCTGGTGAGGACAGAAAGTTCTGCACAAAAATGTGTCAGCATGGCAGACGCCGGCCAATACAGGGGCTTCAGTGTGTGTCCTCTGATGGGAGGCCAGTCTAATGACACAGGAGCAAACGGCTGCACTGTTGGGGGAAAAATGTTTGAGAGTTAAAGTGAGGTTGATCATTAAAACTGAGTGATGATTTGGAAGTCGACTACGCTCCATATGGTGTCTAGCTATTTTAGTATTCTAGCCGTTACACATGTCTGAACAACAACATCAGAGTTTGCTGCCTCTGTTGATGGTTGAGTAGTAGGGCTGTCACAACTCTCAGACATGCTACTAGTGAAAATCAAACGGTATCGATACCAGGTTTCATATTACAGGAACACACATTTAAGTCCTTACCTTCTGGGTCATTTCTTGTTTTTAGTGATCAAAAATTGCAGGCGAACTTATGCTATTTGTTTTAATTGCAAGAAACATTACCAAAGTATTTTTGCAATCTAGACGGTGCTCTCTGGAGCGTTGGGGTCCTGCTCACCACGTCCATATCCAACCACCCACTATTCATTACCCCACTTTTTACAAAGCTGCTTACTTAAGAAATCAATCGTTCTAAACACATTTTTCATCTCAAAAAGATGATTTTCTTCCACTAAAAAAATAGTCCATTGGAATACAGTTAGATCAGCGTCCATTGCAACAGTTAACTCTGTAGCCTTCATTAAATAAGCTGGACTAGCTGTTACTGAATTCTAATATTTTAAAATGGTAAATGGACTTGAGTTTGTAAAAGCGTTTTCTAGTTTTCTGACTACTCGAAGCGCTTTTACATCGCATGTCACACCTACACATTCACATACCGATTGCAGAGGTTGCCATCAGAAGTATCTATTCCCATTCACACATTCATACACCGCCTACAAAGCAGCAGGAGCATCTTGGGGTTAAGTGTCTTGCCCAAGGACACATCGAATGTGTGGCTGCAGGAGCTGGGGATCGAACCCTCGACCTTCCGGTCAGGAGATGACCGACTCTACAAACTGAGCCACAGCTGCCCACAAATAAGTCTCCCTCTGTGTGTTTGATAAAACATCGGTAATGTTAAATATGAAGTTCTAAACACTGTTTCAAACTAACGCATCTCACAGCATCATGAGTGGCCACATTTTTAGCTTGAGTGGGGAATAAATCGTTCACCACTCTGAGGTGTCAAGTGTGACTAAACATTTTCAGCAGCACAAATGCTTGTTGACACAGGAAAGTAAAAAACTGCTGCTAACACTCAGCAGGTGTAGAGTTAGAAATAAAGTGCAGCATGAGTCATCATGAGCTTATAGCTATGAACCTTTTTTCACACAAAGTGAAACAAAACATTATTTCAGGTGCTTTAAGATCAAATCAGCATCATTTCTCAACCATTATACGAACTGCTCGTTTGGAAGGGGATTACAGCTGGAAATTATCCGCAAAGGCTAAAGCTGCTCCTAAAACTAACAAACAGCTGCTGTCAGTTGATGAGACGAGCTGGCTCAAACATATGAATAAGCAACACCTTCATATTCCCTTTTTTTCTCATTATTGGATTATTTCATCCATTAGCTCCAACTGTAAATGAAATCCCTTATAGAAATGCTCAAGAGACTGTTATAGCAAATCAATAAATATTTTTGGGGAGCAACATGTCATCTCTAGGCCAAACAATTGTAATTACCGTAAAACTTAAACTAATAGCCCAGGCTTTGATTGACTTCTTATTATGAAATGATCTTGCCTTTATTTAAGACAGGTGTCAATTCGAGACAGGTCTTTCATTAGGCTACTTTTCAAACAAGACCTGTGGACAGCAAAGGTCAGAAAGACGGTAAGAATAAACATTTAACTGAGTAAAAAATTAGAATATTGATTAAAGTAAAAAATAACCAATCACTGCTTTGATGTTGATTTTTAAGAGAGCACGGCCGGTACATATTTTTCTGTCTTTTTTCGTTCTTGTAACTTCTTTTTGATCCGCAAACTGTTTCAACACTTAATATAACAAGGGCTGAAATTAAAAAACTGCTTCTATTTGTCAAAACTAGCAGAAACACCAGGATAGTAAAAAAAGACCAAAGGGCTTTAAATTGTGGCAGACTTGGGGCGCTGGTAACCTCGTAAAACAGTGGCTGAAACTGAAGCAAGTTGGTGAGCATTGAACGTTTTCTCTTAATTAGTCTCTTGTTTGTATTGAGTTCAAAGCGTTTGTATTGAGTTTTGCTGCATGTCATCCCCCACTCTCTCCTCCCAACATTTCCTGTCTCTCTTCAGCTTTCCTATCCAATAAAGGCAAATATGCCCCCCCGCAAAAAAAAAAAATCTTTAAAAATATAAGAAAATGGCAGGGGGTTATATAAGAAGTTTTACAGTATTAGTTTTTCATTCATTTCACACATCATATAGTGACATGTTGGTTTTCCCACCTCCATAAAGACTAGATGGCATCTTCCTCACTAAACATCAGTGTAATATTACAAGGCCTGTTTGATGCGTATATAAACGCTGTCTCTTGGCTTTCATTGCTGTTTATTCTGCCAGCTCACAGTGTGTATATCCTGTCCAGAGGTTCTGTGAGTGACGGCGAGGGGTTGTTTGCCAGTTGGCTGTCACAGCTGGTGATTCACTCGTCAGAACTGATCACCGTCAGAGCGGGAGTCATTCATTTAAATATTCATGACAAACTGAAACCACATAGAGTAAGACACAACCACAGCAGCAGTAAAAACAAACAGTAACAGAAGATTGGGTTTGATACTGTGGTAAGCCTTGTTGGTTTTTTACTAGTTTACTTTGTCGACAGGGATAAAGAAGTTTTGTCTTCTAATTCAAACTTTTATATTCAACAGCTAGAGTCTCAAACTCATTTAAATAATATTTCTGCTTTATTTAGACTAAGAAAAAGAAAGTGAGTTTTGCTCTTCAGTACTAATTGGGCTTGCAACCTTCCCGAGGGTCTGGGGGCGGCTTGAGATAGTGTTGTAGTCAAGACCTCACTAACCGAGACCAAGACATAACCGAGACCAGAGTGCTCCGAGATCAAGACAAGACCAAGACATGAAGTGATCAAGACCGAGACAAGACCAAGACCATAAATATCAATGAAAAATCATCATCTTATGTGAAGGGGGCGTGTCACCTGCTTAGACCATCACACAAGGGAAGGTTGCAGCCATAACCAGGGGGATAAAAATTTAACTACATATGAATTGAACTTATACATTTTTTATTTTTCCTTCTAATCACAGTAATGACATGGGAATATGGCCTGTCAGTACTGGTCCTGACTGGTCTTGATTTAAATCAAGAGTACGCCCAGTCCGAGACCGGGACAAGACCGAGTAAAAATCATTTTGATTCCGAGACGGGACCAAGACCTTAAAAAGGTGGTCTCGAGACCCATCTTGAGACTGAGACTGATTATGAGTACCACAACACTAGCTTTAGACAGCAAAACAAAGACAACAAGGACAAAACAATAAAAATATTATCTTAATAAAAGTAGAACCGATACAAAAATCTAGTTATTTAGTTAGTTTGTCTTGTATTTATTTGTCTTTGGCATTGTTGCTGTTGTCTTTGTTGCTGTTGTTATTGTAGCTTTAGTCATTGGTCCTCATCTACCTTCATTACCCTTATCCCATAATCAACTTTTATTGCTGGTTCCTGTTCAGCAACAGATCTGCTCTGTCCTGGTTCCACCTCTAAATAAGGACACTGCTTCTTGATTCTCACATTGATGTTTGTGCTCCATTAAACAGTGATGCACCACTTCACTTCAAAATAACTCTTATTCACGTTTAAAACCTCAGTTAACATATCTTACTACATAAACTTGCACCATGTAAACTTAATGAAACCTCATGCGAACCCTTGCAGTTTTCTTCCTGCACGACATAAAACTTAACGCAGCTGTGAGGAACTGTTTCTTTTAGTGATGTTTTAGGCGTCCCCTGTGAACACAGCTGTGCATCTTATCTCTCCTGTCCTGTGTAAGCTAGTTTCGTGAACTCTTTAAAAAAAGGCTTTTCTTGAACTTCCTAATCTACAGAAATACACACTTTAAAAACATGGCCTGGAGAAAATTAAACAAAGGCTGTTTTTGTCCAGAGCTTTAAATCGCTTCAGCAGATTACGACCTAGTGACAGCTGTGGTTGACACCCAAAACAATCAGTTTTAAA